TGAATGCCTTTGCATCACTTCTTTTGTTTCTTTCTTTCTTCTTTCCCTTCTTTGCTTATTAAACAATTTTTATCTCGATCTACAAGTTTTATTGCTTTTACTCTTCCTTTCCTCTTACCCTGTCCCACCAGGGCAGGGGGGCGGGGAGTGAGCAAACAGCTGTGTGGTGCTTACCTGCCTACTGGGGTTAACCCACAACACTTTTGTAGGGACATAGTCCCATAATTTATATTTGTAAGGACATAGTCCCATAATTTAAATTAGTTTACAAGTTATGGACACCAAACCTGACTTCTGTAGTGCAAAAGAACTTTGGGCTTTTAGCATTTCTGGAAATTGTAAGCAGCTCTTCCACAATGACATGATGTGTCTGCTTTTGTATAGAGCATATTAATAATATTCTACAGTAGCACTGACCAAGTGCACAGTACTTCAGTGAGACCTTGGAGTTGATGGTGCATGTTGAGTTGTGTGGACAGGATTGCCTTTTGAAATCAGAACAGAGCTGTTTGAGAAACTATTAATAAGTCATGAAATAACTAAAACTTACAAAACCTTCCTGTGCTGATATGTGAAAAGTCTGAATGTTGTCTCAGTAGATCAGTGTACTCTTAAAATGGAGCCTTTTTATCAGGAAGGCAGCAGTTACTTTAGAATTGGCTGTTGCAGTCCTACACATCAGTAAAAAATATAAGTAAATTAGAGCATTGAAATAAATTGTTTCAAGCAAATAAAGTATAATGAGAACTGTTGATTGTAATACTTTCAGATTAAGCAACAACATATACATGCTTATAGGCATGCAGCTACCTGAGTCCTTAAATAGTCCTGGTTTGCCAGTGCTTATTCATTACTCTGTCATTTTATGATTATTTACTGTAATTAGAAATAATCCTGACATATTAGCTTTCTCCCCATGCTAAAATCTGGTAAGGCCTTTCAGTGTTAGTCTGTTTCTGTTACTGTGTAGATGTGGAAAACAAGCCTAAAGCTTTGAACTTGCAAGCCTGTAGTCACAGCAGGTCTGTCCACAGCAATCTACAAGTTTGCATTCCTACCACATGCAGTAAGGGTTTCTCTATAGACCCATGTCACCAAGGAATTCAGCAAGGAACAAGAAGTCTTCAGTCAGAGAAGGGCCACAAGTGTGTGAAAAACTAGCCACACATAAACAGTAAAGGTCATTAGCAGGCTCCTAAACTCCTGGCTAGGAATTAGTTTTTTGGATCATTAACGGTAAAAAGCCTAGGAAATGAATAGGACTCAGTGTCCTATTAAAAATTAGCCAGAACAATTAAAAGGTTTTCCAATTTCTAATGGGAACCAGACCTAATAGCTCATTTTCCCTTGTCTAGTAGGCTGTTTCTGCATTTTGAATTACATTAATTTTATGTCCTTGTATTTTTAAAGAAATATCTTGAAGTATTTTTTCTTTATAGGAGTTGTAAATTATTTACAGTGTGAAAGCTTGGGAGAAGTAAAATCGAGTGTCTCCCTAAGACAGTGTTACTGATTCCAAGTCTTGTGACTCTAAACTACTACCATTAACTGTGACAGGATTTCATCTGGTGTGTGCAAATGTATACTTTGCAAACTCCTAATACAGTTGCTGCATTGTGCAATCCCGTGAGTTCAAGTGCTCATTTGGTTGCACATGCACAGACTTTTTTGGTGTGAGGTGTCTCTCCTTAGGGTATTATATGTTTCCCTAAACTCAGTTTTCTGATTTCAACAGCAGCCTTTCTGCTTTCATTTCAATATAAATTTCTTGCTGCTGAGTGGATGGCTGATGGCTATTTAAGAGCTATCTTCTCTACTGTATATTTTTTCTTAACCCTAAAATGACTTTGGCACAAGAAAATTATGAACAGTGAGCCTTCAGTATTTCAAAATGTAATTTTTGGAGAGGTACGTTAAATACTTTCTCT